ATTTATATTTGTCACATCTTAGGAAGGTATACGATTTAGTATAAACGCCAGCTATGCTATTAAACTTGTTGCCTTAGAGGGAGTTTTAAATTTTATCACTGCGATGGTAGTGATAACATATATTTATATTTTATAATAACTTATAGTTTGTATGTAGAATAAAAAGGATACATTTAATAACAGTGTATAATTTTTTTTCATTTTTTTTCGATTTTTGTGGATCATACATGTATTTTTATTTCAGAAAGATTCGATTATTTAATAAGAATATTATAATTGTCCTTACAGTTTTATTATCGTCATTCGAGCAGGCGTGGATTTTGTAAACAAGCGATATATGTATATATATAACACTTCTATGAGGCATAAGTGACGCAATAGTCTTCAAACATTTAAAGTCGACGAGCTGTCTAAGATTATTCCGTACGGGTTTATTTTTATAGATCTCACACTCCTATATCGTGTCTTCCGATATCTACATCACTACGCGGCACGCGCTCGTACAGGACATCAAAATTTAATGCTTGATGGCGAGTAAATAATACAGTCAAACGCTTTATTACGCACGATAAAAAAAAATAAAAAAAAAAAAAAAAAGGAAAACAAGAGAGAGAGAGAGTGGGAGTATATAACAGAAAACTTTATAAGAAAAAAAATTATTTCATTGCATATACTATATGTATTATTATTATTATTATTATAAGAATGTTGAAATAAATTGGATGACTGCGTTATACAAGTTGACATGTTAATAACGTGTCATTGAATCTACAATAATAACGTGTCCTACATGAAGGCAGGCATATAAAATCTTATGATTTGAGTGGTGTACTTAAATCAATTTCGTCGACCGTGTTTCATAGATTAAGTGCAACAGCAGATATATAATACATATATTATTTACTATAGAACATTATATAGACGTCATTAACACAGTCCGTTCATTGTTAGCATTTGACATTTTTAACGCAAAATTTCTATAAAAGTCATGTAATGTTTATTTTTAATATCATGACGTATTGTGCAGCATGGGTAAACTGAAAAAAAAAATGATGCTATTAAATTTATATTTTATATTGTCGTATTTGTTTTTGCTAGATACCCATTATAAAAAATATTTGATTGACTCACTGGATAACATAACAATCCGATGTACTACCGGTGTTTTCAATTGTACGCAATAGTTGTAATTCGTATGATAATTGTATGAATTCGTATTTATCATCTTTTTTTTTTTTAAGAAGTATTTGACATTTTGCAATAATCCATATCAGATTAAATTTTTATTATTATCATTAGTTTATAATAATAATTACATCATATACGTATAATGTGTGAACTATATTTACATTATATATGCATTTTACGTTCTTCCAGGAAATACAGAACAACAAGGCAAATAATTGTTATGAATGCAAACGCGACGATCAATTCAAATAGACATGTGGTTATAAACGCACGTTATAGTTTTAATTTATTCACCCACGGTGAACATAATATTGTATACGTTAGATTCAAAGTAGTGAATGTGATTAGTGATTACCGAGTAAAGAATTAGAATAATGTTATTTGATATTGTAAATTATTGCGAAGCCCTATCAAGCATTCAACGTGTGATTAAAATAATATTATTATACCTATGTTAATATCCGGATTTTCAGACTTCAGTTTTCATCTGGATGACATTTTCTACACTTTGAATGATATCATGAGCTACACACGTGTTGTTCTATGTTGACAATCGATTAATAAAATATGAAAAAATTAAGTTATAAAATGATTTAAAAACAATTTTTTACTCAATAATTGCTCAACACCTCATAGGCGAAGTGATTTGACTAAAATTTTTTCTCTATAATATATAGTTAAATTAATTAATTAATTATATTTATTTGTAATATGGTTCTTAAACTAACATTATATAACAGTAAATAGAAATAAACTCGTCTACTAGTATTTACTAAATAATCTTAACTTGTAAAACTATATAGGTTATTGTATATTACACTTGTATATAAGTAATATATTAATTAATATTGTTCTAAAACTTTAATACTCAATTATCAATAACTATCTACATAAAGCTTTTTTATATCATACATAGTTCAAAAGCTTGCGCTTAAACTAAGTCATTTCAGCTAACATGTAATGTCATGAACTATAATTTATAAAAAAAATATTAACAACTAATTAAGTTGTCATTAATTGAATTACACAATAAACAATAATAAATTGTTCAAATATTTATATTATTACTAAAATTTTAATTTAACATCATCACTTCCGGTGCCAAGCAACCAAAGTGAGATTTTCCAGCAGTGTTCAGTCTTAAATATTTTAGCTACAGCTGAAAAATAATTAAAATAGATTTGTTTAAAAACTGGTGTTAATTTCTCCGTTTGTTCTGCTAAAATTATATTTATTAGATATAACATTGTAAATTTCAAGTCAATTCACATTCATATTAATAGCTTCTATACATACTTCAGGATCACTCGTATTATCCATAAAAATAAAAATTATAAAAAAAATACCACATCGTTGTAAAATTATTACAATTTAAGTATTGAACTCACCAAATATTTAAAATCTAAGCATTTTTAGAAATATTACTATCATACTATATATTTTATGTGTGGGTAATTCACATTTTCAAATAATATACTATAAACCTGATGTATTTTTTTATTTTGTAAATTAAATAAAAATCCTTGTAAATAACTCTTGTTTCATAATAATTCGTTGATTACATAATATTTACTGTTTATAAATATACAAAAATTTACAAGACATGTACCTAATTAAATAAATTATTGTATACTTGAATAATATCTATAATATTTTTGTTACAACCTAACTACCATATTATTTTGTCAAATTAAAATTCAATATCTTTGAAATTTCAAAACTACCACATCTAAGTACGACTATACTTACCATTTTATTATTACATGTTTAGTTTTATATGTTTTATATATTTTTACATGTTTAGTTTTATATTATTATAAACAGATTTGTAGTAGTACTTAAATGTTCAATAAATATTGGATTAGTAAAGTTAGGTACATGCATAAACACATATTATTTAGTTTAGTTTATGTTATTGCTGTACACACAAACCGTTATAGGGGAAGGAACTTCTTAAAGCAGAAGGATAATGAAATCAGCAATATCTGCAGGTAACTTTCAATGAGGGTTTCCATTTTCCGCCAAAAAAATTAAAAAATTATTACAGATATTTGTTGAAAACCCCTAAAATTAAATTCATCAAATATAAATTATTACGATGATATACGTGCCTTGTGTTTTATCACAGATATTAATCATTAAATATTATTTTACTAATTATTCACATATTTAGTATACCTACTTCTCAACGTATACGCAATTATACACATAAGAAATTAAATGCATAGTAGGTATAAACAGTATAAGTATGAAAATTAATGATTAAAAACATTACAAGTTTGTCGCCCGAATTATACATTTAATTATAAAAATTAAAATTATATAATAAATACAAAAATTCAAACATATTTTGACACATTTAATATTTATTATATGAAAACGAGATTTTTTGACAAATTAAAATTTAGTTAAATGCCTACATGAATACATTTTGAAATGTATACTTTATTTCTTATTTGTTTTAAATTAATTATATTACGTGAAATTATTGGTTGATCCACATTTAATATTTCACAAATCACAATATACACTGGTGGTTTGTACTTTATTTATCAAATTTTGAACCCACGTAAATATTGAAGGCGACTTTTAACAAAATGATTGATTGAGGTTTGAATGAAATGATTCACATAGACATGTGATTATTTTAAATGAAAAAGTTGCTTCCGCTCATAACTTAGGAAGAAACGTACTTTTATTTGAAATATAATTGTTCAATAAATATTGCAAATACGTTAGTATATGATCATAGGCGTGCGCAGACTCCAAAAGTAGGTAGTGCCCATATATTATAATTGGCCTCTATATTAATACTATTGGTTTTTTTTTTTTATAAGTTTAATGTGCTTTTAATAATATACATATTATAGAATGATAAAAATTGCACACCACCGTACATCATTTCTGAAAAAATAGTCTTGGCGGGTTAACAATCAAATTAAAATACAATCAAAAAGGAAAAATGAATGAATAATAATATTATCGATAATAGATGATCACAAGTTTTACTATGCAAATTGAAAAATTGGTTTCTCAGTACACAATTACAATTAACTCATAATAACTTTTAATATATGATACTTATTTATTATAAATTATTATTAATACATGAGAAATTTGATTGAGACATTAGGCACTCCGGTACATGAAATTCACAGGGCGTGCCTGGGCACACTGGATTCTATATTTCTATGGCACAAAATATTTTATAAAATAACGGAAGTTACCGAATTGGTTCCCGTTTGAAAAAGGTATTTTATTAAGTTGAGCCGAATTGGTCCCCGTTTGTGTACAGGTAAATTTTAATTTTAAATAATTGGTACAAAATATAAATTAGATATTATAAAATATAAATGTACATACACAGCTACACTCTATACTATAAACTCTAAAGTGTAATCAATACAATAAGATGACAATATATTTATACATTAGAAGTTTAGCAAATTATCGGTGATACCCCGATCAATTAAGATAACGATTGAGATAAATGTACTCTTATTGCTGTATAGTATATCGTCTATATCAGTGCTTCTCAAACTTTTTTGACACAGGGCCCCCTAACTTTAATATAAAACTGTCAAGGCCCCCTCAATTAAAATCATTAATTATTTTTTCTCAATTATATACTTAAATTGCATGTACTATTTTTACATTGATAAATCAATAAAATGCACAGTAAATTATTGTTTTTTAATTAACTTTTGAAAAAACTTTATAATAGTATTGAAATTTAAATATGTATAAATGTAAATAAATTGGTAATAATTATAAAACTATACTAAAATATTCAAAAAAAATGTTGATTGCTATTAATGCGACGGGTGGGCTTGTATATTTTTGCATAGCATATTGATGTCTGGTGTAATATTTGAAACTGCAATGCGCAAGTTCGCTTCTAATGAATGTTGTGAAAGACATGATCTATGTTGGTTTTTTATTATTTGTAGTTGTGAAAATGCAGTTTCACAAAGATATGTCGAAGCGAAAGGAATTAATATAAGTAAAGCCGCTTTTGAAATTAATGGGTACTCTTGTTGTCGTCTCAACCAAAATTCACTTAGTTCTTTTTCATGAAATTCAGATTCAAGAGTGGAGTCTTCTCTAATTTCAATTAATTGCTCTTTGATAGCCCATGGAATATGATCATATTTCAAAGAAGTAGAAAATGGTGTTTTTATCCAATTGTATTCATTATTTATATTTAAATTAGGAAAATATTTAGATAAAAATTGTAGCATTGAAGACATATGTTCAGTTATTACACTTGCAACTGAAGTTGTTAATGAAAGCTCATTAACGGTAAGAAAATCATGTAAACTCGTAAACATTGAGGTATCTCCATTGTTAAATGCGTTTAACCAAGAAGACAATTTTTTATTAAATGCTTGAAGTTTTGAGGTAAGTACTAAAATGTTGGTACTTTGACCTTGAAGAGATACATTTAGTTCATTAACTTTATCGAAAACGTCTGCTAAATATGAAGCTAAACACATCCATTTTTCATTACTTAGTAGTGCAGATAAATCGGGTTTAATTTCACGGAGAAATATGCGGAGCTCATCACTTAGTTCTATAACTCTTTTTAAAACTTTACCACGGGATAGCCAACGAACGTCAGTATGGAATAGCAATGTATTGTGGTTGGATCCCATATCTTCACATAAAATCTTAAAAAGTCGTGTATTAAGAGCACGGGTTTTCACAATATTTACCATTGATACTACGTCATTCATAATTAAATTCAGTTCACAACCAATTTTTCGAAAAGTTAAATGCTCTCTATGTATAATGCAATGAACAAATCTTACATCAGGACTAACTTTCGTCACTTCTGCTTTAAACCCTGATATTCTACCAGTCATTGCTGCTGCTCCGTCTGTACATACGCCAACACATTTGGACCATTCTAGTTCGTTTATAACAAAAAAATCATTTACTTTTTTAAATATATCTATGCCTTTAGTTGTTTCAGAAAGAGTTTCACAAAAAAGTAAATCTTCATGTATTTGTAGATTATATTGATATCTCACAAATACCATTAACTGGGCATTATTTGTAAGATCAGTCGATTCATCGAGTTGTATTGCAAAAGTGTCACTATTTTTAATTTGAATTAATAATTGAGATTTGATATGATCCCCCATACAGTCTATTCTTCTTTTAATAGTATCATTGGAAACAGGGATAGACCGTAATGTGTCTGCAATTTTATCACCGTGTATAACTTCACATATTTTTATTGCTGCTGGTAAAACCAAGTTTTCTCCAATAGTAAAACTTTTTTTAGCTTTAGCAATTAGCAAAGCCATTTCAAAAGAAGCTTTAAGAAGTGTATTATTTAAATGAGTATGTTTATCAAAAAAAACTACTTGCCGACTTTGTTCTGATGCCTTTCTTTCAAAAAAATCAGTCGTTTTATTTTGGTGTTCGGGGTGCATAGTAGTTAAATGTCTACTTAATTTTCCCGGTCTCATGCAATCGTTTGATAGCGTATTTAAACATATGACGCACATTGGCCGTTCTTCATTATTCACACATGACACAATAAAACCAAATTTAATATATTCTGAATTGTACTTGCGTTTCTTTTTATTGTTCGCAGGTAAAAATTCATTTTTTCTTTTGTTAGTTGTTGAATTAGAAGTGTTTGTTTCTTCGTTATTTGTTGAAGAAAAAGTAGCTGTTTTTACATTTCCTTTCAACCACTTTTCCATTTTTTAATTTGGAATAATAGTAATAATTAACACAGCACAAAACGCACGACAAACGAAACACGACTGCATGTGTACTTATGTGGCTTATGTACTCAGTATAACATTTACGGTTTTATATCATTACAGTAATCATCGATTATCGATAATCTAATCTAATGTGAGATAAACTTCTCCGATCATATAGCAATTTTATTATTATTAAATAAAAGTTATCTAACATCAAACTTTATCGAAAATGATTAATCATATAAGGTCGGTTATTTAAAAACTAAATAACGATAAATTGACTCCATTTAATTTTAAGTCGAAAATAATTGTAGTTTTTTTGTTCATAAATGCTTTAATCAAAGCCTATAGAAAATAGTTCAAAAAATATAAATATTTCACGGCCCTCCAGTAAAATAGCCACGGCCCCCTGGGGGGCCGCGGCCCACAGTTTGAGAAGCACTGGTCTATATCCTATGTACGATTGATAATAATGTCGGTGAGCAGTAGCAACTGTACAGTCTCGAATAACACATCGTATAAATTTGTAATTTGTATTTCATATTTTAATTTATATTTTTTAATTTTAATTTTTTGTAATTATGGAGTTTTTGTTTAGTGAAAAGGGAACTAAATTGTTGATTATTGATAATTATAAGTTTGGATTCCAAAAGAACCTAGCAGTATTTTGTACCTGCACCTAGTGATAACTATAGTTGACTTCCAAATCAACGATTTAAAATTGTATATATTATTTAATTTTTTTATAACACATATTAACGCACATTTTTAACCAAGCTTACTTTTAAATTAACAGTCCTAAGCCTGTAAAATTGAAAAGGAAAATGTGCGAAATTAAACTGGAAACAATTCGGCACGTGGAGTTGGAGCTCGGGAACCAATTCGGTACCAGCCAAAATAACTCATTACTTCACTGGGATTTAAAAATAATAAGCCAAAGGTGTGACGTGTGACTACATATAAATATTACACTTAATTTTATACTCGGTAAGTAGACCTAAAGATTTAATTTGATGACACCATGCTTAAGTCAAGTGAAATTAAAAATCAATTAATTTTATCATAGGCCAAACTTCATCAATTGCAATAATTAGTATAGTTTTTTTAAAATCACTAGTTATATTAGTTGGTAAAAAAAGACGATTCATATTATAACTCAATTCAGATATTTTATTTAACATATAAATGTAAGTCTCTATTTTTTTTGTCGAGCAGCAAACAAAATACAAGTGGTAGAAGTGGTATATATATAGTGCACATTTTTGTATTCATGAATTGTATAATATATTCCAATAAAAATATTAGCACTGTATTAGAAAGTGCTATCCATGTATATAATTGGGATATAACTTTAAAAATTTAAATTTTTCGCACATGAAAAAATCAAAACATTTTTTGAATTATCGTTAAATAATAAAAACAGATCACCTTGCATTATCATAATGTTCATTTCTTATAATGAAAATCGTATACAGATTGTAGGTATAGAAGTTGAATTAGCCGGAAAAATTTTTCGTCGGATTTTGTACACGATTTACATACCTTTAACTGAAATAGTATCTAGTACATAAACCATGTTCAATTCGCTGTGAAATAATTTTTTTGGGCCTCATACTTACATCTTTTACCACTTTACGTGTACAGGCTAAATTGATAATTTATCTGTAAATTAAACATCTATCAATAGCACTAGGGTCTGTTCTATGACTCGAACAGGGACAAATGGACACGGCCGTTTAGTCGCAGCCGTTTGGACGCGAAGTCATTTAGACGCATCCGTTTGGGCGCGAGGACAAAATTATTATTAACATTAAAGTTTTATCGCGAAATTCGAGATTGTCCGACGTTATTGAAATCGGTGTTATTGTTTAGGCATTAAGTTGCTTAGACTAGTATTGTATTAATTCAATTCTGTTACTTATATATATACGTTATCGAAATCGATAAAATCCAATCGATAATCATCCAAGTTTATGCGTCTTTTATAACGTGTCTTCAAAAAGTACAAACAGGTAAAGACTCTTATTATAATCAATTAGAAGCAGGAAATAGTCCTAAAAAATAAAAAAAATATATTGATGTCGATAAAAGAATTTTAAAAATAGTTAAAAATTATGAACAAAGTGGAATTTTGACATTTTCAAGAAGGATAGCCCAAAATATTTCTGACAATTTAATTATAACATTTTTAATTATTATATTTTTTTAGCAATATTTTGAATTTAAGTTTTGATGATTTTTCTACTAAATATTATGTTGTAAACTTATATTTTATTGTCAATATTTTCATAGTTATATGTAAAAATTACTTTTTTTTTTATATATGTTGTATATTTATATTTTATTGTCATTTAATAATTATTATAATTGTGTCCTCGCACCCAAATGTACTCGCGCCCAAACGACCACGTCTAATTGACTTCGCGTCCATTTGTCCTAGATCGTCTATGACTTTCTTCAAATTTGTCTAGTGCATAATTATATTTTGTAAATATTTTAGCAGCGTAGCTACTTATCGTAGCACCTCCGACAAGTAATACCGTTTTTAGATGTATATGGTGTCTATTTTAATATAATTACTACAATTATTAATCATCATATCAATAAAATTTTCGATAAAAATATTTTTGTACAATTTAAAATACTAAAATAAAGATAAGCTACAAAGCTATAAATTTTTGTGATAGTATACGTGTCTTGGATTATCTTATGAATAATTCATTCGATAAATTAACAGTATTTTTCGACTTTTTTCAACTTTTTTTTTAGTTCAACATAAAAACGTTCAGACATTTTAATGTATCTTAATACGACAAACACTTTTACAAAAGTGAAAAAAAAATAATATTTTTAAAGACGTATATTGAATTTTCCCATATACACGAATAACATGATAATATGATTAGCTAATAATAACGATATTACATCGCACACGTGTTGTATGCGATAGCATAATCGTCAAGATAAACATTAATCGTTGATTTCACTAGGTAAAAATCTAAGTTTTATATTAATTATTTATACTTTTCCAGCTCGAGGTTAGGTGATTTATAATATATATATAATACCTAGTCATTGTATTACATTCTATACTTTTCCTGCTCATTTTTGGTATTCTATAAAATACCTAGGATTTCTATATAATACCCGATTTAACACATTGTCGGTAACATATACATAATATAGACAATAAATTTAATAACTCTAGCTTTGGATTATGTTTTTGAGTTTTAACTAAAAATATAGGCTGAAGTTAAAAAATTGATTTTATTGTTTATATTTAGCACAAATGAATTATAAATAATAATATAATGAATAAAACCTAGGGTTTTTATTTTGAGATTAAAGTATTAAATTAATTTAAAAAATAACTAGTTAAAACTAAAGTCATATTGATGAAATGTCTATATAAGTAATTTTATATTTACAATTCCAATTTCCAGGAAACATATTATTATATAATGATATACAATTTTATATTATAGGTGATTATTAAGAAATTGAAACATGAATATTGGTAGGCGTATATAGTTTATTGTACGTTAGTATGTCTTATCATGTTTATCTTGCAATGTACATAATATTTATGCATAAGATAGTACATGACTAAAGTCATGTATAATAGACGCGCACAGTTATTATTTTTTATAATCATTAATGTGATACGTACATTACTTACTACCTACATAAAACAGATGAAATGGTAAAATAATAATGTTACAAAAAATGTAAGTACATTACAAAACAATAATCAATTATTTTATAATATATAATATTATACATAATATTTTATATTTATTATTAATTTTATGCGAGATACTTTGTACTTAGTTAAATTACCCGTTTACTCAATAGTTAAACATAGGTATGCGCACACAAGCATTCTATCTTTAGGTAGGTACTTAAAAATAAGAAAAAATAAATTTTGCTCTATTTAATGATATACTCTTTATAAATAGATATTTATGTTTATAAAAATATAAATTGACAATAATTATATTTTGCTTCATTTAAAAAAAGGAATGAGCTCTTATTGTCAAATTTGACATTTTAATATTTTACTGGTAACGGATACACGTCAATTTATCGTAAGAAATTTACCGCGCGACAATTGACCGCAAACAATTGATCGAAAAATAAGATTTTCAGTAATAACTTTTAATTTGAATAAATTTGGCACAACTCTGGTTACATGACGTATGGTTAAAGATATATTTTTTCATCTTAGATTAAAAATGTTTAAAAAAATGTTGTTAGGCATATAAAAAATGAAACAAATTAAAATTACAATTTAAAATTATAATATGCAATACTTTTATATATAAATAGATAAGATTTGTACATTTAATTGAATACAAAAAATAATAATAATAAATCATAAAGGTAGGTATATAATAATTAAAAACACTAAAATATATTAAACTTGCAATTGAAAATTATATGCAATGCCACGAAAAAAATCTTCAATATTTGTATTAGTATTATAATTGGTACAAATTTTTTTTATTGCAGCTGCTCTATCTCGATAAATTTTTTTTCAAGGAGGCTCATTGCCCCCTACATATTGTTCGATTTTGAATCTGTTCTCTTTTCTTTTTTTAATGCATCTATAAATCGCCAAATTGAAGGATGCATACCATTTATAAGTGATATAAAACAATTGTGCCACCTTTCTATAGCATTATTTGTGGTAGCTAAATCTTGCATTAAATATACTTGATCGTTAACGATCGAATAATGTTACGAAAAAATACTATTCGCTTTAAAATAACTCTGAAATTACCTACAGCTTGTGTTCGAAGAGTTTATGCCAAAATTATTAAATGGCTTTATTTTATTCAATTACATTATGATAATATATTTTTTATTTATTACATCAACAGTAGCTTGGTACATTTTTAAATTGTTACATAATCATAGTAAAATTATTCTGTACCTAGTGATATTATTATGTATAATTTTTAGTTGTTTTGTAAAAATATTATAATAGCAGGTGCCTGGTAATACATTTAAAAAAAACATACACACATACCTGTAATTTTAATTAAATTCGAAAACATAATAATTAAATAATAATATAACTATAATAAATACGTAATTTAAAAATTATTGGAATAAATAAACAATTTTAATTAATTTGGCAGAATTGTGTAAGGATTCAAGGAAAATTAAATGTTTTGAAACGACTATAAGCCACATATTTTTATAAAATATATTGTACAAAGATTAGGGTTGAAGTATTAAAGTAATATATCTATAAGTATAGGTATAACACGTAGATAATTATTATGCATAGTTGTAATTATGTTTATTTTTATTTGTATTAAGTTAAAAAATATGGCCAGCAACACGACACCAATATTGAAATATGATGCCAAATATATTCAAGGTAGGAACGAAAAAAGAAATTAATTTGATTTATAATGTTAACACGTAACATGTGCGACTTATTTTATGAAAATTATTGACACCTTTTTATCACTAGTTGAGCCCTTTCTATTGTGTGTTTTAATTTTAATTTTAAATGTATCGCATTAACTTTAATATTTAGGTCTAATAAAAGAACAATTAAAATGTAAGTTAGTGAATAAATAAGTTATACTATTTACCATATACCTATTAAATAACTAATTAAGTTGATAAAATATACAAGAAAAAATTAGTTTAAAAATAAATACATTAAAAAATTAAAAGAAGCATCATAAAATTAAAATATCGCTAAAAGACAGAGAATGTATGATTTGAGTTTATTATATAAAAAATAATTGTGAAAATAAATATAGGGGAATGATAGTTGAGCAAAACGTTAGATTTTGAAGAGGGATAGCTAAAGTCTAAGACACAAAAGACATTTTTTCTAAGAAAATTAGACTTATAGAGAAAAAGAATTAAAGGTTAGGTAAAACAATATTAGCTCAATAATAAAGTTTTTGAAGAGGACAACGATTTTTATTTTAATACATTTTCAATTTCAATTTTAAAAACGTATTTAAAATTAGAATTATTCAAAAATCATTTGGTTGCTTGACAAGATATTATTTTCACTTTTATAAATTTTATTATAAGTATTTAGTATCATAAATAATAATAAAACATTCTATAATCAGCTATTAAGTTAGTTAAAAGTTTATATATTTTTTCAGCATTATGGCAATATTAAACTAAAATAGAAAAATAAAAAAATATTAATAATATGCTTATTTCTTAAATATAAAATAGTATTGAAATTATTTAGGTAAGTAAGTATTAAAAGGAGATTGTTGAAACATGTTTATATTGAGTAATTATAGTTCACATAACTTAAGACTTAAAATTAGCTTTAGGAAACTCTATCATAGAAAATATAATTTTTATTAGAAAATTTTAATAACTTTACTCTTATTAATCTATCTCAGCCTTTCCTTCGATGCATCATATGGACTGGACATAACAAAGAAATTTTCAAGCAGTTAGCAGAAGGGTATTATATTATGCGTATTTATATATTATAATCAAGTAAATATTTAGATATATACCTAAAAATGTATTTAAATTAGGTATATTAGATACAAAATATAATAGTCATAAATATATAATAACCTACAAAAATGTAACAAATTAATTGATAATAAACTGAAGTTTAATCTAAAAATTAAAAGTGTATACAAGCGACTTTTCTTTTTATTTGGGTCTCATCATTATTATTTTTTAGATATAATATGACCTATGAATTACTTAATAATAATTAAAAAACTACACCTAGCTGTAATCATCATCTAGCTTGTGTACCATACGAGTTGCTTATTTTTTTATTTAATTAATATTATATTTATTTCAACCTAATTTTAAATGTTAACTTGTATATATATATATTAGATTCTTTACTTCTATTACAAGCATTGCTTATTGAAAGTAAATATCACAATTTTATTATTTTATTATATTAATTGTTTTGACGCCTCTTAAATAAATAAATAAATAGATAGTCTTAAGACTGTACTTGTATTTAAATATCAACGTTGATGTACTAACCATTTTGAAAACAACTAGCGAACTGTTCTTAGCTGATTGAGGTACCCGATCTGAATTTCAAGGTAATTAAAAAAACTACGATTCATCACAAAACCCGACATCGATAGATTTTCGAGATCATGAACGAGTTCACGGATGCCAAGCTACGGTAAGTATGGCACGTCGTGGTAAACGGTGTAGAATGATCGATCACGGACGTTATCTTAAGATTGAACTTCAAAAACGTGCAACGACGCTATGACTGACGAGGGTGCGCGACGCGCTGGACGGAATAGCTCTTCGGACGCCCTCTACAATTTATGGCCTTCTCCTCCTCTCGATTTTCCTTCACCTTCTATTCCTCCATATCATCTTCCACTCTGCCTCCTTCTGCTTATCTAATGGTTCGCACCCTTACTCCTTCTTCGTCAGTTAAACCACTGTTATAATTTTCCTATTACAGGTTTACAACATCAAAATTAATTCTAAAATGTTTTATTATTATTTTATCTATCCGTGTTATGCAAACCTATAGTCAATGTTCAAAAAGTTCAACTGAAAATTGAATTAGTTCACATTTAAGATTCAATACGTAAAAATGAATGAGTTAGTTTGGTGGTACATTTAAACTTAATTATTTTCTAAATATTTAAATAAAACGTTAAATATGTAGCTAATAATTAAATCATTAAAAGGGTAATGGGATATAAAATTTATTTAAATTAAATAGCTAAGTTACAGTGTAAAATTTAACACATACATTACAGTGACTTACTTTAAATTACGAGATACTTTTGATACTTACCGTACAGCAGCATAACTTTTTACCTTTTTATAATTATAAAAAAAAATCTTAAATATTATATAATAATATGAATTTATCGATACCTATATTTAAAAAAATTTTAAATCATAATATTAAAGATAAATATTTTATTTTAATAATGACTTAAAAATTGTCAAAGTTTTTTAAAAGTAAGAATTTCGATTATGCTTACGTTTTTTTTGTTGATATAAAAGTGAGTGAATTTGGTAAAATATAACCACGAATATTCTATTCAAACACTGTCAATAGTATCAGTAATATTAGTCATTAGTGTAACTACGGTCGAGAGATGGCATCATATGAGTCCGCTAACTTACTCGGTAAAAGTGGGGCAGAATATATTTAACCTCGGACGTATATACATATAATATTAGTTAAAATAAAAGATATACTATACCACTGAATATACTTTTTCTACTAGAAAAAAAAGCAATCAATTCATAAACTTCAAGAAAGATATCTGGTAACGTCGATAAAGAACTGAACTATTGATTCTAGTTGGTAGTTTTGGCAGATCAAAATGGAAAATTATCGGTAAATTATAAAATATTCGAGATTTACAAAAAAAAACTTTAAAGTGGGTACCTACTGCTTTTTTGTACATCAGATGTTGAGTTAGTTACTGCTATGAATGTATTTAATTTGAATTAAATGATAAATAATTGTATACGAAAAACGGTTCTGAGTGGAAACAACCTGTTAGTATAGAATTTTAAATTTTGACCAATTGATACATTAATTTTTTGAGAATTTATTAAAAAATAACACTGAAAAAAATTAAAAACTTAAAGTGTTTATAAATAGCTCAAAAAAAGTCGAAATATTTTGAAAATTATATTATACGTAGAAAACGCTAATATAAACATTTTGTGAAAGTTTAAAGTATTTAAGTTTATTTGTTTTTCAGTTAAACCAAAAAAATCAAAATTTATTTTGTCGAAATCGGTTTTTTATAAAAAGATCCCTGGTTATTCTTAATTTTTCTTGATTAAATTGAAAAATACAAACTAGATCAAATTTTCTATCTAAAATTAGCGTCAAAATTGAAACATTTTATTTACTATTTATCGTTTACATTAAAAAAAAACCACATACATATGCATCATTGTTTAATCAACACATTCATCATTCCGTTTAGAACCTAAAATATATGTTATATATAAAAATAAATAGTCTGTTAAAATTTTAATATTATCATTAAAATAATTATTTGATTAACTTGGCTGCTACAATTATGTTGGACCGTTCTCAAACAGAATATTTTTTTTATTGAGTATATGAAGATTTACCATTGAATTTAAGTTAAACACATTCATTACAGTAATCTACTGCATATATATTACGAGTATAAATTATTACTACATATATGTTATTGGGCTGAATACGCAACTTTTTTTTTTACTTATTGAGTGTGGTCTATTTTGTGATCCTAAAATTCGATAAATAATATAACCAAGTACATTTATAAAAAGGAATAATAATAAAAAAAAAAAACTGACCTGTCAAGTATGGATACAACTTGTTCGTAAAGTTTTTTGTTTTCCGTGCAGAGAAGAAAATATAAGTAGAACTCTTGGTTTTATTTTTAATTTTATTAAAATAATTAAAATCATGTTAAAAATATTAGTTAATAATTTATCATCGTTAAAACAAAATTTCGTTAAATTAAATCTTAAATATCATTGTATTATTGTTTGTATAACTTTGAAACTTAATGGGTAGATAACAAATAGTTACGAAATGCACTAAACAGTATGAAAACATCTTCAATAAAAATTGACTTAATGCAATGTTGAATAAAAAACTAAAAAAATATCTTAAAATGTTTTTCAATTTATTTAAAATATAAATGTCTATTCATTATTTTCTGTATACAAATTGATATTGTTTACTATTCTTATCGTATTACAAAGTCTGTATAATATAATGTACTACGCAATTTTATTTATATGGTGACAGGTGATCGACCGATCGCGCACTTTAGATATTCACCTCTATAATAATTAATATTCAAAACTTATAAAATATATGTAAAATGTAGCTTAAAAAATATAATAAATTCTTTCAAAATAACAAAAAATGCAAAATAAATGTTACATTATTATATTCATGAACGTATAAAACAATTTTTTACATGGATTCAAAAAAATGTATAGGTATGTTTCACAGAAAGTAATGTATTATATAAAAATTACCATAATATCATATTTTTAGTTTCTTCTTTTACCTTGCGCTTAATTGAAAGAGAGCCTGTGGTGGTACAAACGGTTACCACGGTATATACTGTAAGGGCTATCGACGATTGTCTTAGTTCATGGACATTTTTTCATACAGTGGGGCAATAATTTAATATTATTAAATAAATTTAATAATAAAGTAGATTATTTATTTTAAAAAATAATTTTAAATTATAAATAAATTACCACAAGAGACTCGGAATAAGAACCATGTAACGGAGTGCATATACCTACGAAAACGGCCCTTTTTAGGGCCACCAAACAATATAACCGCGCCAAAGCAGGAGCGTATATCGGGTAGGTAACACGCGTCACAATAGTTGACAATACCGTGCCGGAACGACATACCTGACCAATCAGATATAGGCACCACTTCTAAGGCCGACTACCGATCACCTAGTGATATCAAATTTGAAAAAAAGGTATCTATGGATAGCGATAATCATATCGATCACATAGATACTAATCCTTTACCACTTAAACACCGGCCGAATAAAGTTAGACACCGTGCAGACAGCAAATCGGCCGCCCAGCGTGAATGTTTACGCTTCGTGGTACGGTGATTAGTGGGTATATATACGAGTGCATTTGAACGAACGATCACTCATTTCTTCAATTAACTTCCAACATCAAAACATAACAGAAATTGGAACGAACGAAACAGAAGAAGACTAGTGAATACTAGGCAGTAATATTAAAACGAAGATTTCAAGCCATAGGGCGACGACTCCGGTGAATTCCCGATTTCAGAGCCATACCACGGACTAGACGATGATTATCGACAGCAGCGCCGCCAAGTGGATACTATTCGAGTAAGAACATCGCTGACGCACTATCGGCAAATCGGGTGATTACCAGCGGCTCTATACGCGATGATCATTTACTGTTGCTATCGGTCACGCAAGATTCGACGTGGTTGCGACAGTAATCGCTAAACAGTCGATCTACCATTGTGACTGACCATAAAAAAGTCCTTTTCAGGACTATTAATCCGTCCCACCCGGCGCTCCTGTTCAGGTGGTCACTCTAAGCCACCCCAATTTTAGTATGACTTCTTAAATCTGTGGTAAAGTGTTGCGGACTCGTCCCTATAATAGTAAATGATTATATAATAAGTGTCCCACATATTGTTTTTTCGTCGCGCCTCTAAAGGCCTGGCACTATAGTTTAAATGTTTAAATAATAAATTAACGTGATACCATAAATCGGCATTGTGACACATTTATAAAGATAAGTCATCGAATATCGGTGTACTGTATCAACTAGTAACTACCTTTAACCTTTAGTAAATTAGTAAATAATATACAGATCACAAAATACACGAAAAAAAAAAGAGTTTTAAGTAGTAAACATATTTCGCCTAATTATATGATCACATAAAATCGTATTTAAATCGATCAAACAGTTTTTCAATACCTAACCAGTAACCTCATTATTTTATAATTTTGTTATGAGTACTGTGAATTAAATATATGATTGAGTTTAAAAATTAAAAATATTCTTCATTTTTTATAAATTATTGATTTATATTAAATGATCTATATAATATGTTTAATATTTACTCAGTACTTATAGTGCTTGCTATCTATAAAATAATATTTGTGTTTAGAGGACTAATAGTTTTCTTATCAATGGTTTATGAAATGTTCATAATAGTTATTATTATTAATACATTAAAATAATCCATAATGTAAAAGCGTGAAGTCGAAATATGATCATACGAATGTCATCTTCTGAAAACATCAACTCAGTTATTAAATTATTATAAAATTTATAATATATATTTATATGCAAATAAGTATGTACCTAATAAAAATGATAATATTTTACGAAATAACTGTAGTCATAAGATTATCATTAAATAGATGTAAGCTTATTGAATTTATCAATTATTTTAATGGAAGAAGGCAAAGAACGCAAGAAAACCTAATTAGAAAAAACCCCTTTAACATGTTTGATTTAAAAATTATTAAGATTACAAAATTAATAAAATTGAATATTTATTAATCAATTTTCAACTTAAATATTAAAAACCATTATTTTTTCAAAAACTTTGATAATTGCAATATATTTATTTATATTTTCTGAGGTTTTCTAAGTAGCTTATATTATTTTCTATTATTCCTTTGGAAAATTTAATGTGCAATAAACTTTAAAGTTAAAATATAGATTATTACGTTAAGATTCTAAAATGTATTAAGAATTAATTTAATATTTCATTTTTTCTTGCTGCATACAATTTTTTTGAATCAAGAATGTAATGAGTTTAATCGAATAGACATGGCTATTTGGACGTAAAAAAAGTAATAATAATATTCAAAAATCAATAAAACAAAAAAATTAAACAAGCGGGTACTGCTATTTAGTACATCAAGAATTGAGTAGGTTATTATAGGTGTATTATAAGTGTACTATATTTGAATTTAATGATACATAATGTTAAACAAAAACCGATTTTGAGTGGAAACGGTTTGTCAGTCTTTATCACCAAATATTTTCGTATGTTTTTTTTATATATAATTATTTTCAAAAATATTTTAATTACCAAATTATTATAATAATATATATATTTATATCATATTATATCTGTAACTTATATAACTCAACCTACTGAGTTGATATAATATTTTTCCGAAAATATTGCATTAATTATATTAATAGAATTTAAGAGTAATTATTATATTAACTTTTATAAATAAAAATTTAATAACTTCTTAGAATTTTTGATTTTGACCTTTTTAAAATATAATTTTATAATTGTAAAAGTATTCTGTATTATTGAATTTATAATATTTAATTTTATAACACTTTCATAATATGTTACTAGTCAACATATATATTAGACATATCTAATTTGTTATAATTTAGTCAACTTTTATATATTTATTTATACTTTTATCTTTCTTTATTTTATATTTATACCTATTTTATACTATGTTACCTATGTTAAACTGTGAATTTAATGTAATATTTATTTAAGCCATACGAAATAATAATAATAATTATAATAATAATAACACTTTCATAACTAAATTAACCATTCTAATAAATATGTAAGTTTTGATAAATAAATGAAGAATCTTACATTCAATTTTCATACTTTTTAAATCAAAAAGGTCAAAAACAAAAATGTTATCATATAGGTAGTATTGTTGATAAATAATAAAAAATTAGTACATTTTAAATGTTTATAAATAGTTAAAAAAAAGGCAAATTATTTAGAAAATTTTTATTATTTATAGAAAATCTTATTATAAATATTTTGTTGAAAATGTCAAATCTGTGAATATTTATTTTTGAATTACAACGAAAAAAAAAAAAAAACAAAATCGATTTGAGATGTTATGATGACTTTGTTATATAAAAACATGTAAATACAGTATATTAATCTTTATGTATATTTTTTTACAGCACCCTGGCTCAAAGTAACTAAAATAACATTAAACGATGTTTGAAAATATTTATTAAGGAAATTTCTTTTTTCAGGTGCAGTTAATTAGTATTAAAACTATTACGGAAACTTCATATAAGACTTTTTCAGCTTCTTTCGACTTACCTAACCTTATTAGTGACTTTTAATTACGTATGATAAACAGTGATAATAATTGGTTTTAACTATAGGAACATTATTAAGTAACCACAGTTAAATATTTTATTAAACTTATAATATGGACTATGATTATTGGCTTTTGTTAGTTGTGCGCAATGATCTGAATAATAAATAAAATCTCGTCTTATTTCTAAATTAAATATTAAAGTCCAAAGTTGTATAATTCATAAAGTTTTATGATTTCCAATAATAATTGAAAATTTTCATAAGACTGTAATTATCAAATTAATTAAATTAAACTATTTATTTGTTATTTTAATTAAAAAAAAAAAAAAAAAATTATAAAAATTATTGTTCATTATTTTTTCATTTAAATTTAATCAAGACATTTTTATTAAAGTATAATGATAAGTTCGATATATTTTGCATTATTAAATTAAAATTAAATAATTTATGTAAACATTATTGTGTCCCATAACTTTGATGAGTGTATTTAAACGTATATCAACTCTTGTTGAACAATTATTTATAAAAAGTATTACTCCACGAGAACGTCATTTTTTTTTTTTCATTGAAAGTTTTTTGATTGTGCTGATTATTATTTAATATAATTTTAATTAAATAATTAATGTATACAAGTTCAAATGTTATGAAATTTATTCATATAAAAATGTAGGAAGGGTACTAAATAGTATACCTAATTTATCTAAATTTAAAAACCAAAATTTTTTAATTTTATTTTTTATACATACTAAAAAAAAATTAGTAGTGCTGTTTCGCAGTAAAGTGGCAAAGAGAGTATGATTTAATGTAGTTCATGAAATGAGTAGTTTTACTATGTAGATGTGACATGCGTACTGAATTGTTTGGATTTATATTTCACTTATTGCATTTTAAGAAAGGTTATTTGATGATTTTATATATAAACATATATAAAATAGAATATTTTTTCCTTTTTACAAGGTATTAACACGGTGTTTTGCTTTTATACGATAGGCTAAAAATGAGACAAGAGAGGAATAGGTATGATATTTTTATTGATTATTGTTTGAGGTGGGAAAATATGAACTTGATACTGAATTTTGAATAAAATAGGTTGATTTGAAGATTGCTTTCTTTATATAATTTAAATCAAAATCTAGTAACTATTTATTTATAAAAAATAATTTATTTTTTTATTTTTATTTCATATAAACAATAAATTCTAAGCATTCACCTATAACATGACTTTAGAAATAATATTCATACATTACGTGACTAATATTCATACATTACGTGACTATTACAGATTATTTTAATTTTTCAGTTTCATTTAAAATTATTACCAGTAAATAAAAAAAAGTTTAATGATGTATTAATTCTCCAGAGGCTACTAAAGAATATTGAGTTTTATTTATTTTTACCTATATAATCACATAGTTATCGCGATTAAATATCACAAACTTTCTATTTAAATATTTATTACCAATATGCTAGTCAACTGCCGACCTTCCGGAAAATAAATTGGTACCTAATTTTATTGTTTTTTTTTTTTTTTTTTTTTTTTTAAACATAATAATGAATATACATAAAAATATAACAAAACTGTTTGTTAGTCTGGTGAATATGATGAGTAAATACACATCTGTACCTTTAAAAACTACCTAATTATTATAATTTTAAAATATTAAAAATGACTGAACATAGTTGGTTTCATGATTATTGTGCGAAAACAACTTCACATTGTATGCAGTATTTTGTGATGAAGAACAGATCACCTGTAGAAAAGTAAGTTTGATTATTGCCATGAGATTTCTAATCAGAATAATTATTTATGGTGTATGAATTATAGGGAAGTGGCAAGAGGAGTGTGAGTTATCTTTATTTTTATTATGTTTTATATTCTATTGGTAATAGTATGGTATGCAAATAATATTAATAACTGGTTATTTACATTTTATATTTTCAAAAAAGTAGGAAGTTTATCAATATTTTCTCGAAAAAATTCTTTTTTTTTTTTAGATTTTAATGCGTTACTTTTTTATAATGTTTCCAACTCGAGCACTGTAATAATTAACTTATCATCATTAAAGGCATTTATTTTTAAACAGTATATGAACATCAAAAGTTCATATTGATTTTAGTTTACTTGCATACAATATTGTTCAATAATTGTATAAAAATATCTTACGATTTTTTTTTCTCGATACGAATTCAAAATTTATCAAATATTGCTTATGTTTATTTTTTTGTTTCAGAACAAAATCTCCAAAAAATAATTCAAAAACTTAAATAAACTGAAAATTTCCTTAAGTAACATAGACTGTATTATGTTTAAAAATATTTTAAAAATTGTGGAAAACCTATACATGAATGCTTTATATTTTTAACAATTTCGTTGAACTCTAGTAGAGAATTAAATTAATAGTATATAAAATATATACGTGTATAATTATATTAATTGTAAAAGAATAACAGCCAAATATAAAAACCTTTTGATAAATAAATGAACTGTTATTTCATTACTTCAGCTGTATTAATAATATTATGAATTATTTTAGATTGTTTTGGATTCTTACGTTTCTTTGTATGATATCCATTACGTTTGGAACTCTGAAAGTTTTGATTTACATTTGGATCGACAGTCCAACTATAATATCTATTGAAAACACAGAATCAGCTATTCAAGATATTCCTTTTCCATCAATTAATATCTGTCCATCAAATCAACTACGAAAATGGATTTGGGAGAAACACATGGACACGAACAGCTCCTATTGGTAATTTCATTTTTAACTAAATACCTTACTATTTATAATGTGTGTGATTTCAATACAGTACCATAGACTGCAGCGTAAAAATAAAATTCTTTACATTTTTTAACGGATAAATTAATTTAAATGTTTTCAATATTAAATTATTAAATAGTATGACATTTTAGTGATTAATATAATATACCTATAAAGTATAATAATAGCGTGTTTAGTTGCCAATAATATTTATTTCTTATTAATATTTTTAATTTTTGATTTAATTTCAATATTATTGTTACTGCACAAATTTACTTACCATAAACTGCAAACCAAAAAAAAATATTCATTAGTCATTACTCATTAGTATCTGATTTTAGTACAGGAGTTCCTAAAAATGTACAGTGGAATAAATTATATTCGCTTATAATTTATTTGTGAATAAAACCAGATTAATTTTAAAATTAAACTGGAGTAACATATTTACACGTTCTCTAAACACGAAAGAATCGTAAAAACACGATTGTGTAAATATAGTCAGTTAAATTATTGTAGATATGCATCGTGCTTATTCATACCGATTATGTGCACATATATTTTTGATTGAAGTAATCCGATCTAACTTTTATTATCTCCGATCATAGTAATTGTTATTAGTTATTTTTTTAACAAAATAATTATAACTCTATCGATTCTTATTTTAGTTATATATTTTACATAGGGAATATCTTCAACAATATCGATCTTTAACGTGTCCCATGGATGTTTATAATTATGATACTACACAAAAGTTTTCAAGAGAATACTTTGATAAAAATTCAATCGTGAAGTTGATTAACGTGAGTAGTTTCTATTTTGTACATTTTTTTTCTACTTTTAAATTGATTCTTGTTTGTTTAAATGAAACTAAACAATGAGATGGACAATTTATACCACTTAAATTAAAGTAAGAGATAAAATAAAAAATAAAATTTTTTATTTTAATTTAGAGTTGTGCGATTAGCTGTTCAGAAGTATTTCAATCGGATGCTAAATGGGAAAATCTAACTGTTCCAAATTTTTGCAGGTTTATTCAACCAAAAATGAGCGTATTTGGATTATGTTTTTCAACTAATATGTTACCATCATTTCAAATATTTAAAAATGAATACAATCAAAGGTTATATATTATTAATAATAATTTATTATAAATAAAACGTTTTTGATTTAAAAAAAAAGCTGAAAATATTGCTTTACTTTATACTCTTTATAGAATATAAACATTTTTAGATTAATCTCATCATGAGTATATCATAATATTACAAGAAAACTAATAAGTTTGGAGATAAAAGAAATGTATCATCCTTATGACCTATTATTATTTTAATAACTAAATATATAGTACTTATATATTAGGTGTGTCTATGTATTGGACTTTCTCCCTCAGAAAAAAATAAATAAATAAAAGTCATATGTGCTTTTATACCAGTGAGTATCCTTAATATTGATGATTCAAGCAAAAGGTTAGAAATTTAACGTCAATGTAAGATAAATACATTCATTATTCTAATCAAAATCTAAAGTACCAATATAATTATGAACCAAAAATGTATTTAAATGTTGATCAGTTCTATGATGTACATTTGATCGACCACCAACGTATAGACGTATAGTTAATAATTATGTTTGTATTACTTTTCAATCGTGTTTTTTTTTTTTTTTTTTTTTTTTAATTTAAGTCTTTCTAAGTGATATAATTATAGTAATGTAATATTTTGTTATTTCAGATACTTGAATTTCTTTTCAAAAAACAATTCGTTTATCGGTACTGAGAGATCAAATTGGAATTTTGATGATGGATACCCAAGCAATTCAGAAAATGATAACCTTGTTAATATAAATCCTGCTAGAACGAGTGGTGTTAGTTATTATCATCGTCTTAGATTGATGATCAACACACTAGATCACGAATTTCTAAGTTGTTCATCTGAAAGTTTTTTTTTTGTGCGTAAAAATAATAACTGTTATGTGTGTAGAACTATACAATTTAAATTTTAAAAATAAATAGAAAATATTTTATGTTTTAAAATCATAATGGAATTTTATTAACAATAAATAACGCTTTCAAATTTAATAACCTTATTTGTTTCAAATTATATAAGTAGAGAGCGACGAATCTATTGAATTTAAAATTAATTATTTTTATACATTGTTTAATAATCATTTAGTTGAAATTTTGATACAATTCGTCAACAACACGAAAATTTGCAAATTATTTTATTTTTAGAAGTTTATAAAAAATGTCTTTTTACATTAAAAATTTGAAAAATTAATAATAAAACCCTTTTAAGTCTTCCTAATTATATAAAAAAAAATGTTCAACGGAAAGTCACTTTTTTTTTATGATCGTTTGAAGTTGAAATTTTTACAACATATTCAACCCTTGTAATAACTATTTCTCTTCTAATGATTTTTGATATTTATTTTAATTTAAAAAAACCGGAGATACTTGAAACTTTCACTAAATGTTTTTTTTTTTTTTTTATTGAACTAAAAAAACATCAACAGCAAAGGTTATTAGTTGTTTTTTTTGTGTTTAATACATATAGCGTGGTATCTATTGCTAAAATTATACGATTAATACGTTGTTACTTATATGTAATTAGTATTAATTACTACTTGAATTAATATTATAGAATGTTTAAATTTTATTGTATAGGTCGGTCTTTCTTAGGAAAGCTAACATACTTTAAATGTTTTCAGTGCCTGGTGGTCCTAATGGTTCGTTCATGTTGAGTGGAATATTGAATTTTCTGAGTTCGTCGGAGTATTGGTAACATTCTATTATTATGTGTTTTATTGTTAGAGTAACCCCACATACTGTGGATTGATTGGCTACTCCTTTGGTTATTAGGAATTTGTGATTCAGTCTTGTGTGGTCTATTCGGAGGCGATTGATTATGATTTTTTCTCTTCTGCTAAGATTCGGGTCTTGTCAATTTAGAGTTGTGTTTTTAAATTCTCTGAGTTTAGTCCGTTGTTTCAACCAGTGCATTTGCCATTTTATTTGAAATTTGTTTTTAATCTGAGTTTTGATATCTACATAATATATTACGATATCTAAAAGCTATATGATTATTTGGTTATGCCGCTTATTTTACTGCTTGATCCGCTATTTCGTTCCTTTTTATATTTGTATGGCCCGGTACCAAATGAAAGTGATATTTATTCCCCAAAGTTTTAATTCATTGGTTTTTTTTTCTGTATGATCTTAGCGATTTGATGTTTTTTCTAAACTTCTCAATTTGTTCAATGAGTCAGTGAGTATCAGGTTGTTTGTTAACTTTGTTTATATCATCAAATTTTAAGGTTTAATTTTCAAAATATTTTTACTTTTTTTGAGTTATTTGTTAGGTTTTAAATTTTATTTTTTATAAAATATCGATAAATATTTTTTTGCTTGGTCAAAAAATTAAAAATTAAATCCAATATTTGACATACGTTTTTTCTTAAAGATATGTAAAAATATTTAAAATGCATAGGAACAATTTTTATGTAAGCATTCAAAGTTTAAATTTCGATAATAAGTCGTAAAAATCATGAAAATTTTATTAATTGTTTTATAGTTGAAAATTTATAAGATGTGTAATTTTTAATGGTAAAATTTAAAAAATGAAATACAAATTTGCTCATAAGTAGTTTATATTGAAACTATTAAACTTAAAAATATATAACCAACATTTTTTTTTATTAACTTTGAAGTTCGAAGTTACATATTTAAACGATTATTTATTATTGTTAACTTATAAAAGGTGATTTTTAACGCTGTCAAGTCAACTAAATTGATTTATTGACAGCTAATTAATAACTTTTAAAATAATAAAATATGTTCACTATTATAATTATTGCTTGATAGATACGAAAATTATTAAATAAATATTAACAATTTAAAAACATCTATTGGTTTTATTTAGATTACATTATCTAACCCAGCTGAGTACTTTTCGCTCGATCCTCGATCATTTATCGCACCGGACACATACACTAGAATACAAATCACTCCGTTCGTGAAAAAAATGAACCTGGCTTTAAAGTGGCGTTCTCCGGAAGTCAGGAAATGCTATTTGCACAACGAGAGAAAATTATCTATTTTTCAACAGTATACACAAATGAATTGTAACTACGAATGTATTTTCAATGAAACTTTTACCATTTGCGGCTGTGTTTCGATCGAAATGGCTTGTAAGTACATTAATTTATATTAAACTTTTCCTATAATTTATAATAAAATATGAATATTTTTATATTCAATCAGTTTTAGCGCCAACCGGTGTTAACATTTGTGGTCTAGCGAAAAAAGACTGTATGATAAATGTTATACGTAAGTATAAATTTATGTCTAATAATAAAAACAATTAAACCAATTTACTAAGAATTTAGCTACGGTTATTTGAATGATAAAAAGATTCTTATGTCGCTAATTTCGTTGTAATATACTTTGCCTACATTGGCTATAAACAAACTATAGGTATCTTGAGGTATGAAGTACTTTAAATTTTTTAAAGAATGTCCTATTTAAAGAAATAACTATTAGTGATTACGATTGTGTACTTGGCACTTGTAGTTACATACGCGTTTCCACAAATGTACAAGTAATAACTACTAGCCATAGTGTCTATTTACACTAAATAGTACACGTAATAAAATCAATAAAATGATTAAATAACTGTTGATAACATTTCCACCGACAACTGTGATCGATTATTATTCAAACTATAAAAATATATTAGATTATCCATTGAGAACAATACACATGGTACGAGCGAACGATTAAATTCGTTTGAATCGACCGCTTAGTTTGAAAATCAAATTGTTTTGTTTTTCATGTCCATTGATTAGTTTTGTTTTTTATATAATATTATTGTTTATTACTTATTTGCCAACCATTCGTGTTAACGTATTTATTTTATTTACTATAATTTTATTATTTTACTTGTATTTTTTATAATAGATGTATTTAAAATATATCAATGTCAGATAGTTTTTGCGCCGGAATAATTCTTACAGTTAATGTATTAGCACTTAGCAGTGGACTACTCCGACTTGCGTTAATTTCGGGATGGGTGACCTTTACTTATAATATAATTTTATAATAATAATGAACGCTAACTATTGACGCGCTCAGCGCATAATACATATAATATTAATATTCGTTTAGACAATATAATGATACAAAAGAAAATTTAAATAAATGTGTGGGCGCCCAACTAATATAATAATAACTAATTAACGTGCATAAATAAATACGTGCGAATACAAAAGAAGAACAAAACGATCAATGGATCGAATACGTAAATACTAAATAATAATAATACAACAAAATTATATAATATATATATATATCTATATAAATGATAATAATAATAATAATAATAATAATAATAATAATATCACCCGGTAAGATAAGAGCTCGGTGCTGCCAGCTAAACTGTCCGACTGAGTATTTAGTGGTAGGCGGACGATGGCGGGCTTCACAGCTGGGAATTCCCGCGGTGAAAGTTTGAACGGCTATCCGTGACGACGACGGATCCCAACACGATGGTAGTTGTCCACAGGACCGATTCGGATTATCGTAAGCTGGAACTGACACTCGCGACAATGAAAGATCCGCAACGCGATGGCACTGAACGCGGCACACGAAGTCGGGCAGTAAAGCACGGGGCCGTAAATGTACGTATGGGCACACACGTGACGATACGGAAACAAAAGTCGCTCACAAAAGAATGAACTCGACAAACGAATAATATAACGGCCCCGGCACTCGAACGCACACGTAGGTGGTCAACAAAAGGATGAAAAGGACGAAATGGCACGAACGAAAATAGTTTGGCTAACGCATGTATTTTACGAACACCGGCCTGATCGGCGGACGCAGACGAACAGGGCAACGGACGATGGTGATCGGGTGGTGACAATGCGTGTCCGCCAAAGTCGCAAAGTCCCACTCCACCGACGATATCGATAGGGACAGCGTTCGGCGATAGTGTCATCTTATCTGTCTTTTTTATTGCCCGGACTCGTATTCGGCGTGGATAATATGCGGTTGAAACAGATAGATTGTGCAAATTAATGTACCACGATTTTGTCCTTGTTATCGTGCTTGTTGAATTATTATTATTATTATTATTATCATCACGACGATAGTGATTGTAGTATCATTTATCATAATATTGATTGTTTTGTAAACACGTGGTCGTCGTTGATAATATTATAACATTTTTCACGTGTTTGTAATATTATATTCTTTATATACGGTTTTTAATACGACTCAGATATTTACATTTTGTATGGTCACCTCTTCTTTAGGCAGTTCTCAACAATCATTGGTATTTATTCTTTCGGTGGTGTAGTCAAGTGGCTGATTTAAAACCGAAAAGCTCAACATATTGGTTGTTTTGTAAACACGTGGTCGTCCTCGCCCCCCCCCCCCCCCCCCCCCCCCCACCCCAATTGGCATAAGTTAGGTTTTATTATTTTTTATTATTAATTTTTATAATTTTATCTTTTATATTGTTTCTTCATTATTTATGTTATTTGTTGCTCCGATTTCGTCATTATTCGAGGTAGTGGCAATGTGGTCGACATTTTCGATAGAATTAATAGCTTTTTCAAGATCTTCTTCAGTTTTTAATTTACATATTATACTATTTGGTAGTAGTCATGGTGAGCATTTTATTCCGTGATGTAACGCACGATTTTTCATAAATTGAACAAATTTTATTCCTTCACTCCATTTGTTGGTATTGTTATCCTGCAACCAAGTAGCAAGAATATTTTTGATGTCTTGGTTAGCTCGTTCCACTGAACCTTGACTCTGCGAGTGAGGTTTACCATGGACTATTTTAAGTTCTGGCCACATTTTACAAATTTCGGTTACAATTTGATTCGCCATCTTTGACCCTACCATTATCACTCTGTAAAATTGCAGGAGCGCCGAAAGTTGTAAAAATGTCCAACAATATGCAAGCCATCTCTTCGGCACGTTTGTGTTTTAACGGATAGAGCAATATATATTTTGTTAGATGATCCTGATAAACTAATATGAACTTATAATCGCCATCTGATTGTGCTTGCATGTCAATCAAGTCAATTTGACAGCGATAATTCATTTCAGAAGATATAATTGGTTTTACAACCAACCCTTTTTTAACTGTACTTCACTTCTTTTTACACGATTCGCAATTATTTAAGTATAACATTATTACATCTCTAGTTATATTTTTGTACTTTTTATTAATCTCGTGTTCCATTATATTTCTACCTCCATGTCCAATTGACAAATGAACTTCATGTATAATATCATATAACTGAACATTATGCACATAATATTTTATTTCATTACCTTTAAATACATTTAAAATTTAATTAATTAAAAAAAAAATGTAATATTCTTAAATAAATAACTATATAAACGAGTATAATTAAATTAGTATATAATATCATTGATTAGGTATACATTATATAAATATTTAATAATATAATAATATAATAATTTAATATATAATCAATGATAATATATTATAAAAACAATAAAGGTATCTATAATAAAACTGCAGTAATATATTGTTTTTATAATATTTACTACTTTTATAGATAAATTGTTTTTTTTTTTTTTAAATATATATATTTTTTATTATTACCTGCAGTTACTGGAACAATTAATTTGTTAATTTCAGATATTTTTATTATATAATATTTCTTCAAGAATTTATAATCATTTGGCTTCAATTTTTGGGAACTTTTCTTTATATTAATTATATGTTCAATCAATTCGTCGTATTTTAATTTGGTTAAATACACATTATTCACATTTTTTTTATTTAACACAATATTCAATTTCGCATTAAATTTTTCCATTTTAAATAAAATGTAGAAAATAAGTAAATGTTTGTTTAAGCACTGCACAATATAAACTGAGTGACAGTATACTACAACTAAAGTAAAACTGTACGTACCAAAATTATATGAGATAAGATATTTATCGGTTTCGTTATCGGGATATATAGTGCATTCACAAAATTTCATTAGTGTTTAACCAAAGGATAGACGTATCATATAACTATTTATACTTTATAAGAAAAAAAAATAATATTAATATATTATATTATGTAATATTAATAATTTGTAATAAAAACATAATATATTATGCAGATTATTTTGTATAAATACTTTACAATTTACATTGCCCAATATACCTCGGACATTGTGTACATTGCCCAAATTTTCCACTTTGCCCGTAACATATACATATATGTGTATATATGACTCGGAACGCGAGACGATGTAAAACGTTCTAAGTTACAGGTAAAATTGTACCAAACAAAAACCCGAACTTGGTAAAAGACGAGTTTAAAGCGATCGTTTACTTAGACGATTTATAATGTAACAAAAAAGACGAACAGAGTCTGAGGTGACAACGTGACGACACAGCTTGTTGACTTAAAAGTGTCGCACAGAGAAGTGCCCGTCTGTCATGCCGGTGGCTTCGACATCACCAAAAAATATTATTCGATGTAGTGGCCATTGACCCTATATTAAGTGAAGTAGGGTAATATCTTATACGTAATCATTACGGCTTTTGTATCTCCGTATAGATAGCTGATTCTGACGGTCGTTGACTTACTAATCAGAGATTAATATCGGGAATCGAACCCAAAATAATATATTGTAAGGGTCATTGACCTCAGAGAAGAGGAGTCGCGATTAGGGCCCTAAAATCCATTTCGATTTCATCGCACCCGATAACTTGCGCGAACAATAGTGAAACAGGATTTAAAAACTGAAAAAAGTTCATTAAAAAGTATTCAAACATGAAAAAGTAATTTCCATTTAAATGCTATTTAGAATTGGAATGTGATAGATTTGGTAAAAATACACTCGATCATATGCTTAAATTACAAATTGAATCAGAATTACAATGTTAACGATTTGTTCTCAACAAAGTTGTAGCTGTTACTAAGTTTTTGTTATTAAAAGTATTCGCATTTAGAGAAGAAAATGAACTTTTTGACTCTAATAATTACAATGGTAACTTTTTAGGCTTATTAGAACTTCTTGCTAAGTTTGATCCATTTATTATTATAAACATATGGAATCACTAGAAAATAAAGTACATAGACATTATGCCTTGTATTTGTTATCTATTATTTGTGACAAATTAATTTTTAATATGAGTAATGCAGTAATTAAAAGAATTATTGATGAATAAAAATTATTCAAATATTATTCGATAATCATTGATGCTACACCGGCCGTCAGGACATATCCAAAATATGTTTAATAATAAAATTAATACTGATTTTTCGGTATATTCTTCTAGAATCTAGATAGTACGCCTAATGAACGTTTTCTTAAAGTTTTGCTGTCTTTTGGCCATAAAAATGTAGATTTACAGCTAGCTATAATCAATGAATTTAAACAATTCGGGATAAATATTGAGGATTGTAGGCCCTCTACAATCCTCAATATTGTATAATATTGGCGATTGTATAATAATGCTGAAAATATATCTGGCGTATATTCAGAAATGCAAGCTAGGATTCGTCATATGATTTTCTATATAGCGTTATATACTTATATGCATATTAAAAAATATCTTAATAAATTTGATTAAATAGAGCAAAGTGATGAAACACAATACTCCAATGAATTATCTAAAAAAAAAAATACATTTTTTTTTTTAGTGAAGAAAATACTGAAGAAATTCTTCAGTGATCATAATGATCATATACAGAGAAAACACTAACATTTTTTGTTATTATTGGTACAATAATTTCTAATTGAACTAAAAGAAAAATTGCTTACGATAAAATTTATAATCAATTTGATTTTTTACTTAATCTTGGAAATTTAAAAGCGGTTGATATTGAAAGCAGATCACTTTCAAAATATTTACAGCGATTATATTATATAAAAAGATTTTATTTAAGAAGCATTGCAATTGAGTATTAAATACAATTCTATTTTCTTTCAAACAGATGAATCAAACCAAACTAAATTAAATACACACAATTTATTAATAATTCCGAGAAACAAAAAGTTGGATAGTTTATTTCCCAATATTGAAATCACATTGCGATTATTTTATATTCAGTCAATACTTAGCTATACTGACAAAAAATATTTACGGCTTTATGAAGAGTCAAAAACTATTTGCAATCTATTTTTCAAGAGAAAAATTAAATCTAAAAGCTATTTTTAGTATTGAAAACTTTTTGATTAAATCTATTTCATGGGATGATTTGTATTGATCAATTCGCTAAAAAATAGAAGTCAAAGAAAACATTTTTATAGAAATATTATAATTAACAAAAATAAAATAATGTACTTACGTAATTTGCCAAATATTTTATGTAACAATTTTTTGTAATTAATGCAACTTCAATTTTAATCGCGTTTACAAAATTGTTATTTTTATAAATTAGTTTACATTTTTATTGTAACATTGATATTGTTCATTAGTTTATATAATTCCATGAAAAATATTGTTAACATATTATTTCATTATTTTTCGTATGACTTTTAATTAAATGTATGGTACCTAATTAAAATACTGACTAAATGAGGTATTGATCAGACGTAAGTTTGATAATTTTTAGAAGGTAGGGAGCTCTACATTAATCTACTTACCTTCCATTAGAAAATAAAATGAATAAATACCAAATTATAGTAAAAATTTTATGTTTATAAAAAAAGTTTTGAATCTTAGGAAGGTTTTAAGTTTAAATATATTTATATTCCAGTATGCAAAATGTTTTAGTCTGGCCCTGACTATTAATTGAACGTTCTACTTTAGGAATATTAAACTAAAACGAATTGCATTCATATTTTATGATAACGAAAAAAAAATAGTAAAAAAGTAATACCGTAGTCGTTCTAAATCTAAACTATTAATTTAACGATCTATAGATAGAACAATTTGTACCTAATATAATTATGAATACATTAAGTATACGATACTTAGCTTAGATTGCTATTGTAAATATTAATAAACGATATAGGTATTTGATATTAAAAATAATACTAAATCGTTTATAATATGTGATTTATAGATTAAATAACTGATATTTTGTAATTATTTTAAGAAATAAAATTTAATATGAATATTATTTATATGCAGAAGCAACTTATCTGCCGGAAATGCAAATAATATGTAAATGTTTGCCAACATGTTCTGTGGTTGAATATGAAATAACGTATGCATCTCACTACGATAATTGGACTTACATGAAAACAACAAATATAGTAAAGAATAAGTATGTATCAAACCATTGTTTATATTTTAAATAATCATAGATCTTAATAAGTACCTTAGTATAAACTATAATATATATATTAGTAGGGATGAGAAGTTATAGTAGCTAAAATAGACAAAATATGCAAGGAAAAAAATATATTAGTATAATCTATTCTGTGGTTTAAAGTCTATGCACATATTACATACATTTACATATATATATACCTTATACATACACATTATTGTTTGATAACAGTATTGTGACAAAAATTCAAAATCCTAAATAAGTTATTAAGTTAGTTAATATTTCTATCGTGTGCTTGTACAAAATATACAATGTATAATATGTTTTAATTAATTTTTTTGTTATAAAAATATGATAATTATAAAATTGATATATTATAATTTATAATACATTCAAATAATAAATAAAACACATGGCGTAGTCGTAAACAGATAATATGTGTTAAAAAAATAAATAACTACTTACAGAGTTCAACAAGGCAGCACCATTAAAAATTAGTTATTTGCCTTAAAATGTTATGTTTTGTAAGCAATAAATTGAAATTTACATGACGGAAACGGAGATCAATGAAAAATCAAAAAATATTCAAGTAGCCGATTTTTAAATTTGATGGACATAAATGAATTAAAAGTTCATAATACTTTGGTGTCCAAAAAAGAAGCTGGCACTGAAGTCTCAACAATTCTTAAACGAATGGAAAAATGTGTTCACCTAGAACAAATGAAATAATGTCACAGTCATTAAAATAAAATGAAAATAACTTTGATTTTTACTTCATAAGACTTAAAGAACTTATCAAACAATGTAACTATGGTTCACTAGAAAGTAAAAAGTGAGTTATTGAAGACTTGAATTCATAGTTGTGATACACTAGAGTAGTGGTTTTCAACCTGGGAGTCGCCAAAAATAATAGATGAAAAAATGATATTTCCATTTTATTTAAAAATAAAATAAAGTTAATTTTTTATTTTGTTTTTATATAGAATTATAGATTATAGAACATGCTGAGGAGCGTATAATCTTAAATTCTTATTTCTTATCGATAGCAGATATGGATTATTAAATTGTTCGTGACTCGTATCGTATACATAGATATATTTGAACAATTTCAGTCGCAAATATTTATAATAATCAGTTCGTACCTATATGTCATTCGTAGTACATGTATCTCACGCGATATAAATTACGTTACTATACTGTTTTAAAATGGAAACATTTTTAATTAAACGCGCAAGTACAAGTGCAAAAGTGCAAGTGAAAATAAAAAAACGTAAACTGTCGGAAACAACAACGGACCAGCATATCAACGAGGAATCTAGCGGCTAGAGGTTACTACGGGAAAATAATATGACCTCGGACAAAGTAGTGATGTTTTGTTAATCAGTCAAGGCAGCTGAAAAGAATTATTAGAAGCTAGAGAATAAAACAGACTACAGAGGTGCTTCAAATAGTTAAACAGTAACCAGCGTTTAAAAAACAGAAGAAAACTACTGATAAATAATTATAAAATCTTTCTCGTAAAGTTCCATTTTCATTAGATTACAGTTGGAACAAATTTTGAAAGAGCTAACTAATGAAAAAATTATAGAGGTAGTGACTAAGTCGTTGGAATGGGTCAATAACATTGTTATAGTAGAAAAACCAAATAAAACATTTATAATTTGTTTACATCCAATTAATCTTAATAAATATATAGTTCGTGAATATTTTCTTACTCTCACCTTAGAAGAAATAACACCAAGGTCAATAAATAAAAGTATTTTTGTGTGTTTTACTTGAATAATGGTATCACCAAATTATGTTACAAAAAGAATCTAATAATTATTGTACTCATACTTTCAGTAGTATTTTTGGATATTATAGGTTCTTGAGAGCACATTTGGTTTGTCTTCAATACCAGGAATCTTTTAAAAATTAACTCATGAATATTTTATTGATATAGAAAATTTAATAGTTTATTTAAATGATTTACGTACTCTGTGCAACTAACATCAATGAATAAATAGATAAAACAGTGATAAATGTAAACATAAAAATCAGTAACTAGCATTTTCATTCAGATTTTTAATGTCTACAGAGATAAATTAAGAGCTAATAGAAAAAGAACTATTTTTCATTAATATTTACACTTTCAAAATTTCATAATTATATGTATTAATAGGAATAAAATAATAATGAATAATGATCATTTGCTATTAGTGCCTTTTTTGAAGTAACTAATAGATAAGATAAAAAAAATAATCGCCTAAGAACTTTAAAATTAAATCATTACCATATAGTATATAGCTACTGTTTGCGTTAATGGGTCTTACTAGGGCGTAAGTTAGCTACAAGGTTCTCCGGACCGTCGTGAGGGGAAATTTAAATGAAAATAAGTAGAATAAGTGTCATACAATATTATACATATTATACATCTAAGTGATACAGTACATGCGAATATATCGCGGGAGCACCGCTCTGCTAGACAATTCCCGTTATAGATAATTGACTGAAGCGGAATTGCCGGGCTCAGCTGCCAAAATGAAGTCCGGAGCAGGAACAGACCACGTGGATGGCTGAGGACGCGCAAGCCACAAGCGCGAATACCAGAGCGGGTCGCCACTTACGTATCATGAGCTTGATACAGCATACAAATATAACTTACAAACCAATCTGAACTGATTTTATACTCGAACGGTGCAACACAACAAGACAAGCAGACTAAACCACATACGACAAAGACCAGGGGCATGTCGAGCACGCAAAAGATAACTTGTAACGGCAATACGGCATAAACGGCAAAAGATGGCCGAACACGGCGGCGTCCGCGTCGTTTACCCGACCAGGGCGACACGAACGAAACAGTGTCGCCAATCTATCGGGTGACTAAGCACGGCTACGGATCAAAGTCCAAAACCAGAGACAGATTGTTCAGATTTGTTTAAAAACCAAGTCAAATAACAAATGTGGTACACAGTTTAAATAGCACAAAGCTATTAATATCTGTTAAAAAGTTAAAATTATATCAAATTAAATCCCCGAATGATGAAATGTTATCTTTATAACTGAAATACAGTAAAACTTGTCTTATCCCAGATCCTTGATAAAACGGAACCGGACTAACGTCAAACGAAAAGATATTTTTTAGGTTCCGTAAATCATATGCACCTTTAACAAACGGAAAAAACATATCATGAAATGAACAAAAATATTTTTGATGTCCACATTTATTTTGCTATTAAACAGTTAAGATCAGCGATTAATACGTATCGATAGATAACTACATTTTATCTTGAATCTATATCATCAGTGCTTATTATTGTCACACCATAGTCATAGACCATAGTTTTCCTGTCGTTTGGTCTCGTCTTTAATTGTTGTCATAACGATATCATGGGCAAAAATACAAGTTGAAAAAAGAATTATTAAACAAAAAACAAGACAATAAACTGTACACGAATTTTCAAATTGTTTAATGTATTTTAACTTACTTACTTTATTTTATTATATAACTATTTAATTAATACCTACCAAATATGTTCTTCAAATTTTAAAATTGTTTTTGAAATTGAAATTTATTATTATTTTAAAATATCTAATTAATATTATATAGTATGTAATTATTTACTAAAGATTAAAATTTATTTTAGCCTGTGTATTTATTAATTTTCAATATTTTTATTTTTATTATTAAATTATACATATTAACGGACGTCGCACCCGCATATGTTCAGTGCTGTCTACGTCTTACACACGTATGACATAATAGATTTTTGTTCACCAGTTTCAATAGTTTACTTTTAATTTTGCGATAGAACACGGGTAATGTTATTGCCTAAAAGTTTTATAATAGGTCAATTCATTTTAATATCAAAACTAAAAGCACACTATTAAAACTGACGAACGAAAATGTACCATGTCGTCCGCGTGTAAGACGAAGACAACACATACGGGTACAACGTCCTCTTAAGTTTATAGTTAAATTTGTTGTATGATATCTTACGTGTTATGTTTCAATACTTCTAAATGTGAAATAGAAGATGTTCGATAACAGTATTATGAGATTAAAATTGGTAATATTAATAGTATTGTGACCATAGACATATTATTATATAAATGTTTATATATTATGTCTATGGTTGTGACATAATCTCAAAATACTCAAAGTTATTTACTCGTCATCTCTAGCATTTGCATCTAACAATCTATAAGTAATATAACATGTATTTACTATAAAAATGTTAGTATTGATTATTAAATTGTGCTATGTTATACTGCATAATAATAGGTACGACAAATAATTTGTTTTTAGTTCTCGAGGTGCTACGATTGAATTCGTTTTCAAAAAAACCCTATTTTACAGCATATATATCAACATCATTTGTAGACTTAGACTCTCTAATAAGTAAGTTAAAAAGAAAACAAACAACCTTTAACTTGTTTTTAATAATTTGTGTACATTTTGAAAGTGGTAAATCTAGCTTCATAGAAAAAATAAGTCGGATCTCAGTGAAAGTACGCGAAATTAATCTTGATTATTTAATTTTTATTTATCTTTTATAATAAACATTGATTTTTTTTTTTTTAAATTAATAATCTATACAGTTTATATAATAATTGTTAAATATTCCTATTATTTATACAATTTATATAATAATTATAAATATACCAATTATTTATTCAATTTTTAATAACAATTAGACATCAATAAAAGACAATATATATATATATATTTGTTTTTTCCTGGAACTTGATTTACCTATACATTTTTTTTTCTGAGATCAATATATCTATTGCTTATTGCTTTTTTTTCTGGAATCCATTTAACTGAATTAGAGTTTCCCAGGTTCCAATTTCCTATTTCATTTGAATGACGTTCACCAAAATGAATGACTGATGTTTTAAATGTAAAAAAATGATAAATCATTACAAGAAAGTAGAAACAAACAAAGATTATGTGTAGTTCAGAATCCATTGAAGTATTGTTTATGTTCTACAATATTTGATGTTGAAAATATTTTATACATTTTCACGTTTACCTACGTTAAACTCTACATCTGAGATCATATCAATTGATCGACGACGGTATAGACCAATGATAACATTATTCTCCAGTAATTATATTATTATTTATGATCTCATTGGTTGTTAGTATTATGCTTATTGACCAATTCATGTATTATATTTCCTAGTTCTCTCACTTCTCAGTTATCGACGAGTATAGGTATTTCTCACTATGATCGAAATAGTTAATTAACATAATTGTTTACATTGTAAATTGTCATATGTACTTATTATAAATCAAACTACTAATATTATGGTCATAATGGGTTTTAATAGATATTTTATCATTATTTTATTATTATTACTAGCACCGGTGAAACTCGTTGTAAGTGAATACCCTAGGTCGGTGAAACTCGCTGTAAGTGAATACCCTAGGTCGGTGAAACTCGCTGTATGTGAATACCTTAGGTCGGTAAAACTCGCTGTATGTGAATACCCTAGGTAGCTGAAAATCGTTTGAAGTGAATTTCCTAGGTCGGAGACAGGACTTATGAATACCGCAGTTAGAAAAGTCTAGTAGGCGAAACCAGTGATAACGACGTTTGAGACGTTGGTACCTCTGATTTGGTGTTTTTACACTTTGGCGGTGTCATTTTAAACGCGTAAATAATAATTTTATAATATAATAAAAGTCCAATTCGAACGTTTAGTGGTCGGTCATTTCATTAAATTCACAGGTGTAATACACCTTGTCCCGTAGCTTGCCCTGTGCTTTTGTGCATGGAAAATAAATAAATACATTCCGAAAAATTAATTAAGTGTCTAGTTATCAGTCATCGTCCAGTGAATATCGATTCCTGACAGGGCAATCCGCCCGCGGCGGATTGTCATACCTTCTGACGTCGAAGGCGTTGTGCTGTTTAGTACGCAAAAAAGTTTAAGTCGAATCGAGCGCTCGATTTCTCAAGCGATCACTAATGAAAATCCAGTTAAACGCGTTTAAACCTCCCAGGTAGGCGATCCGACTGCGTCGAATCGCGGACGATGTAGGCGTAAAGGAGAGATGTTAAACGTATCATGGAAATGCATGTCAAACGTTAGGGAGTTGAAGATCAAAAAACTATATAAATTTAATCATTTTTTTGATAACAGAAATTACAATTAATTAACATAAAATTTAAAAATTAAAAAAAAAAAATGCAAAAAATCCGAATATTTGGTCAGTTATCGTACAGCCCGGATTTCGCCGGAACGTGTATCGAACCTGCCTACCTAACGTCGGAGAACTTCGTCCCGTAGCTCGTTACGAAAACGGCAATCGAGTGTCTGGGTATCAGTCATCGTCCAGTGAATACCGATTACTGACAGGGCAATCCGCCCGCGGCGGATTGTCATACCTCCTGACGTCGAAGGCGTTGTGCTGTTCAGTACACAAAAAAGTTTAAGTGGAATCGAGCGCTCGATTTTAATCTAGAGGCTAAACATATAAAATAGTGAATTCACCGTCAAAACCGAGTGAAACAACTGTATCGTCATCAATAGAATGTTCTCAGGCTATAATATAATTTGCATATCACATAATATGTACATTTGAATTGTGCAGACTGTTAGCAATAACTATAATTGGTTATTACTAATTATTTTTAATTAAGTATGTTATGTATGACACCATGTCAAAACATTGTTTAGGGTAGTAGGTAAATAAACATATTCAATTTATAACGGTTGAAACTTTATTTAACAAAACATGAAAACGTGAGACATAATGGTGTTGTTTCCAAAGCAATGAGCACAAGGAAAAAGAATAAATCATAGTATATCTAAGATATCTAAAACATGATTGCGCGTGGCTTATCAATAGTATATACTGTAACTCGTAATCCGACGTCAGGGACGTCGTATATATTACAATACTCATCCCTAAGTTTATTAGTACATAATAATTAATTACATAAGATAATGGACATAGTACATTGAATAAGATATCACAATAAAAAAAAACAATAGTATATCATAACTTAAATATCCACAATTTTGAAAATATAGATATACAATATAAATAAACGGTGTACATATAAACATTAATATGAATTATATAAAATATGAAATACAAAATTAATAATATAAACATAATGATCATAATATGATAGTAACAATTGAGTAAACATGACTATATATTCTCTCTCTTTTTTTTTTTTTTTTACAAAATAATGTGCTAATGTGTAGGTTTATTATTCACTGCAACCAAATTCACAGTCAACACACATAATCTTTAAATTTGTTTGGTTTGACAATTTTTCTTATAGGTCTGTTACCTTGATTTTTAATACATTCAACTATCTCAGGACCTTTTGTTATTTCTTGCATAAGTGTTGTCTCATTATTATTCTCAATACTAGTTTCAAATGGCACTGTCTTGTTTCCTTCGCTCTCTATTGGTACTTTGATGTTACTCTCTTTTTCACTATAGTTGTTATTGTTGTCATAATCGTTAATTTTTTTGCTTAGTCCTACCTCCTTAAAGAAAGAGCCTACTTTTATGATTTGGTCAACATGTCTTTTGAAATAGCTGTTGTTAAATTTATCCTTACAGATATATATAGACTTTCCTAGCTGTTCATCAATCATACATGCTTTCCAACTCTTTTTATTAGGTTTGCTGTAATCTCTAATATACACATCTTCTCCTACCTTAAAAGTTTTATTGGTTATGTTTCCTTTATAATTTCTGATCTCTCTATTAGTTGCTTTGTCACTATTTTTGTCACTATTCCTTATTCTATCAAATCTAGTTCTAACATCTCTCTTAAACATTAATTTAGATGGAGTATAACCAGTTGTACTGTGCTCGCTATTCCTGTAGAAAAATAAATATTTCTGTATTGCTGAGTGAACTGACATTTTACTTTCTTTCATAATTTTACTGAAACTTAACTTGAAGTTTTTGACGGCATTCTCTGCTGCACCGTTACTAGCAGGGTGAAACGGAGGGGAGGTCAAGTGTTTAATACCATTAGTTTTACAAAACTGGCTGAACTCATTAGATGTGAAGGGGGTACCATTATCAGAAACTATAGTATCAGGGAGACCAAACCTAGCACAAGTTTCTTTAAGTTTTTCTAATGTATTAAATGTATCAGCGTTGGCTACTTCGAATACTTCTGGCCACTTGCTGTAAGAATCAATTATGATTAAGAACATTTTATTATTAATAGGCCCTAAATAATCCATATGAATGCGCTCAAAGACATGTAGTGTTTTTGGCCATTTAGTTAAAATACATTTTTGTGGTTCAGGTCTACTTTCTAAGCATAGAGTGCAACTTTTGGCTGTACGTTCAATGTCAGAATCTATAGATGTCCACCAAAAGTATGAACGAGCCATAGATTTCATTTTAACGATGCCAAGGTGAGAACTATGTAATTCTTTTAAAAGTAACTCCTTTAGACTATAAGGTATAATTATTCTGTAACCCCACACTAATATATTATCTTCTATCACTAATTCATCTTTTCTATTGTAAAATGGTTTTAATTCATTAGGTATATCTTTAGGCCAACTACTATTTAAATAACACATTACTTTTTGTAAAACTTTATCTTTAGCTGTTTCAGCTTTAATCTGTAAAAAACTAACAGGTAAATATCCTTCTACCCAGTTTAAAACATCAGTGTTATCCCCTACCTTAGTTAGTTGTTCATCACTCTCTAGACATGGTAAGCGAGATAGACTGTCTGCTATGGTATTTGTTGAGCCTTTAATGTACTCAATATGATAATTAAATCCAGAAAGGAAAAATGCCCATCTTTGTAATCGTCCTGATGCCATTTTAAGGTGGATTATTTTCTCCAAGTAATGTAGTATCAAGTTTTGTGATCAGATCTAATAATAATTCTACCTTTGAAATATTGATAAATTTAGTTATTCCCAAATAATTATAACGCCCTTGGCAAATAACAGAATAGTTCTTCTCCTTTTTAGTCAAAGTGCGTGATGCGTAACTAATGGGTCCTTCAAGATAAGGTCTGGGAATTTATGAGAAATGACGGCTCCTACACCAAATTGAATGCGTCGCATGATAAATTATGGTAAGTAGGATTGAAGTGTGTTGGTGATCAGATTTTAATAACTTTACATAACAAAAGTTTTGGTGTGATATCCCAAATAAATATCTCTTTTTAAATGAATTATGAAGTGAGCTAATATAGTTGATAAATTTTAATAGACTTAATTAATCCCATTCCCAAAAGACTTTAGTTCAGGTAACGTTTTGAGGTGGAATATTTGAACCTGTTTTTCCATGTTTTAACATCTTTATCGATTACATGTCCTAAATCCTCTTCGGTTTGAAGAACGACACTTGTTTGTAGTTGAAATCCTTCTTTACAGCATTAAAACTTCCCTTAAATTTTCTAAGTGTTCATTATCATTCTACCTGTTACAGTCGATCATCAATAGATTAGCTGTAAAGGGACAATCTTTGAATACTTTTCTACTCTCTTTGAAAATGGCTGTTGCTGGTTTGACACCATGGGTAATCTCGCTGCATACTCGCGTATTGCTCCATGCTAATAACACTTGTTTGTGAATCTACCTTTAATTGATTATGCCATTTTAAATCTAACTTGAAAACTTTCACCACATGTGCTTGCAAATAACTCTCCAATTTTGGGAAGGATAATGCTTATATCTTTAATGCTATTTATTGATAGTGGTCTTATAAATCTGTACTGGCCTCAACTCGTGGGTTTCAACACAGGGACAAGAGGTGTTCCCATTGGCAATTTCACTTTTAATTACCAGCCTTTTTCTAACGTCAAATTCCTTTTCAACGTAATTTTATAAACGAGGTATAGCACGATGCTTACAAAAATAGGATTTACATCACTGTTTAGTTCTAAATGGTTCAAATTTTATACTCCTAGTCTATTGTCAATATCATTAAATTCGTTAACAGTTGATTAACTTTCATTTAACACTTTCTACACTGTTAATGTTTTAATTTTGTATAAAAATATTAAATAGTTTCATAGTCTCTACCAAATAAAGATAATAGTAAAGTAGAACTTTTAACTACTATGTTTATACTGACACTTTTGTCTTTATTTAATCTTGCAGTAATTCACCAATAGGTTTAAGTACCATCAAGAAATTTAGTTTGGTATCAGCTTGTTTAATTTTATATCTGGCCACTTTTCTTTGGCTGCTTTCATTCAACACCGATCTCGCCGCACCTGATCAATCTCATATTTAATTCTTGTGTGTGTAATGCAACCTTTGTAATTCAGGGTATGTGAGCATCTTGAAACAGTTTAGTATCAGGCTTAATCTTAAACAAATGAATTCATCTAAATAGTTAATACAGTCGTCACTCATGACCTCTACGTTACCAATCAACTTTTTATTTTTACAAATGGTTGCCAAATGCCCCACCTGCCAAACAAATTTACACCTGTATTATACTTACAATTAATGAAGTGTGTTTGGCTTACCGCAATGAAAACATGATTTTATTGTTCTTTGTGTTTGTCGCGTTGTGGTTGTTGTTGGTTTGAATCTGGACGGTTGTTCTTTGATTGATTCTGTTGGCGCCACGCCGCTCCTCGCTCTTTGGCTGCCTTTGACTTATGATGAGTTTGGTGTACTGTTTATTGGAAGAAACTCTTTTGATTAAACATACGTAACTTCT